TTTCAATGCATTCCTTCTAATTGGTCTTTTACCTTTACCACCTTGTTTGTTTATCAGAAATCTATTGAAGTTCTAGTTAACAAGGCTATTTCCTTATCATTTTCTTTTTCATTATTCTTTACACTCTTCTCATCATTTTCTTGAGTAGCTTTAAGAGCTATTCTCTCTCTTTTTTTTTTTTATCTTTCTCTTTTGTTGCTTTTTCTTCACTCTCATGTTTGAGTGACATCTCATAGGTAAGAAAGGAGCCTACAAGTTTATCTAGTCTAAAAGTGTTCAAATTTCTAGCTTTCTCTATAGTTGTTGCTTTAGGTCTTTTATCTTTTGGCTAGCCATATAGACTTTTTCACCACTTGTGCATTAGGGAAGTGTTTCCCAAGTGCTTTTAATCCCACAATAATATTTGTGAATCTATTGTACATTAGGGTTATTGTCTCTCCATCTTTCGATTTAAATAATTTACAATCAAGAGTAAGTAATCCTATTTTTGACTGGTCGACTTGAGTGGTGCCTTCATGTAAGGTTTCTAATTTGTCTCAAACTTCCTTTTTGTTTTCACACATGGACACTCTACTGAATTCTTTGAGTCCTCAAGCACAATATAGGGTATTTATAGCCTTTGAATTAAGGTGCATAAGCTTCTTATCTCTGTCATCCCATTCTTTCATAGGTTTAATGACTAACCTTTCATCTACGATTTTAGCAAGGACATGAGAACTTTTTAAAATAAGGTTCCAAACATTTATATCATTAGCTTGGATAAACATTGCCATCTTCCTCTTTCAATAAGGATAGTTATCACCATTAAATAAAGGGAGAATTACCATAGATTGGCCCTCACATAGGTTAGTGGTTATAGGTTGCATTGCCATGGCTTTTGAGCTTCAAATGGATCTTTACTCAAGGTGTTTAAATCTGCAAATTGAGACCAAAGCTTTGATATCAATTGTTAACATGTTAGCTCAAAAGATAAACCTTAAGAGAAAGGGTGAATTAAGTATTTTAAAAAAACTTTGTAGTGCCTTTGAGGAAAAATTAATCTTAAGCAAGATAAGGATGAAAACCTCTTTGAAGCTTAAGAATGAAGAGTTTCTAAAAATTTTTTACAAGTGGCTGAAAATGATTTTAGGAAGTCAAAGAAAATGGAAAAGAAATTTCAACAAACAAGTAGAAAACACAAGATTTATAGAGGTTTGGCTTCAATGATTACGTTCTTTCCTTTGGCCCACTAAAAAATTTGAAATCCACTATAAAAATTATTTTTCAAAAACTCAACCATAATTTTTACAATGTACTGCTTTTTATGGGTCAAGTACAACCTTTCAATACAATGCCTTTTATAGATCAAGCACAATTTTTCAATACATTGCCTTTTATGGATCAAGCACAACATATCTACCTTTTACTTGGGTTAAGGCATAACCTCTCACAACAACTTTACCTTTCGAAGGCAAAGTATAACCTTCACAAAGGATTACTAGATAATGAAGATGAAAGCTTAAATGCCTTTAAATAGGCTTAATGAAGCTGTAAAAACAAAAAGAGAAGGAAGGCTTAACAAGAAAATATAAGAACTCAAGCCTTAAGAAACCAAAGACAATGAACACTTGATTTGAAGAGTGATTTCTAAGGAATTTGGTGTTGAGACTTTCACTCTTGCGTAAGAATTCTTCTCTTGGTGTTCTCTTTCTTCCAAAGTGTGTTTCAGACCTCTAGTTATATGTATGCCTCGTCATAGTCATTTAGAGACATGAGTTCTCAAAAATATGGTCGTTATTCATGTCCTTTTCTAATTTGTTTGATATAAGGTATTGATACCTACGACATGGGTCTCGATATTTTAATTGCCAATTTCAATTGAGGTCTTGATACTTGTGCTGCATCTTGGCAATTTTCAAAATGAATCATGTCTTGATACTTTTGTCCCTTGATCTCGATAAATGGCAGCTTGCTCTTTGGAAAATCATGTTTGGAGATGATGTCTCGATACTTGGTAAGCAAGTACTTTAGCACTTGCTCTCTAGAATTTGAAGTTCAAAGAATGAGGTCTCGATACTTTATCAAAAATTCTCAATACTATGAAACTTGCTATTTGGAATTTGAAGTCTAGAGATGAAGTCTCGATACATTGAAACTTGGGTCTTGATCCTTTTGGACTTGCTCTTTGGAATTTGGCATCTTTGAGGCAATGTCTTGATACTTGAAGTCTAGGCCTCAATACTTTAGCACTTGTCTTCTGAAATTTGATTTTTCATGGGTGAAGTCTCGATACCTACCAAGGATGTCTCGATACTTCTTCTTCCTTAGGCTGTTTCTGAGGCATATTGATCTTGAGGTCTCAATACACACTTAATATGTTCCGATACCTTACCCATTTTAAGCTTATTCAAAGGTATTTTAAGCTGCAAACACTTGGTCATTTTTCATGTTAATGCTTAAAGGGTTTAGTGAAGTTGTAATTCACTTAATCACTCACATTTTGGTAATATGATTTCTTCATTTGAAAACAAGGATCAATTGTAAGGCTAACAAACCAAACTACACAGTCATCACAAAAGGATTTTTTTTTTTAAAATCTCTTTTTAGTCAAATAATGCACCAAAAACCATAAACATGATATCAATAGACATGATAGCAACTGAAGGTCAAATTGAGCCCAAAAAAGGATAACCAGAACAATGAGAATTAAAAGGAAATAACAATAGCCATCACCAAAGCTACACAGCAAATGAGTGCACAGAGTGAATCAAATTACTCTAAAACTGGATGTTAAGAGCTCATTTGTACGAAGAATAAATGACAAATTAACATAAAAATTGGTTATTGGAAGGGTTAGGATCAGATTCTTACCAGTGGAGAAAGGTCTAGCTCAAAAGGCCAAGTATATCTGTGTAGTTGTTCACTTTTTATCGATCATATGAGAGAGAAGTTTAAATAGGAAAAAATGGTTTGTCATGTTGAGTTTTTCTTCATCCAGCCTTTGATTAAGGAGGAGTGGAATAAAGATTAAAGGGAAAGATGTTAATCAGCTTTACCTAGAGTTCTCTTTGGTTGCTCTTCCTTCGCATTAGACTATTGTCCTTCCATGGTTTCCCTGTCACCAAGAAATCATTTAGAACATCAAATTACATAACTTATTTTGTCGAGAAAAGGATCAAACTGATTTATAAAGCAAAGAATAAGGAAATAATTAACATATACAAAATAAAGGTGAATTCAATAAAAAAAATGTTTGGACTTGCATTACATCGATAACAAATAAAGGACAGCAATCTGTAGCTGAACAATGAATTGCCAAGAATGAAAACAAATAGAAAGTCATAAACCAAACTACAAAGATATCCAAAAGCATAACAATAAATAAACCATTCATAGATAGCAACACTGATTAAATGTTGAACTATGACTGGACGAATTCGCATACATGTTTACATAAATATAAAGAAAAAAAGAAAACAAATTGAATGGAACAAATAGACAATAAGAGAATTGACCAAGAAAGGACCTTTATTCTTCCACTAATTATTGACTAAGCAAAGTATGTAAACCAAATTACTACAACAATAGGAAAAACAATAACAGAAGCTGTCAATCAAAAATATTTTGAGACTTTACAAAAATAAAAAAAAAAAAACCTTTATCCTTCTAACCATTCCCTTTAATTGAAAAAGTACTTAACACTAAAAATTAAAAGAAACAAAATTGATTAAACATTAAAACAAATACAATAATAGGAAAAGACAATAACATAAATTATGATTTGAGCAAATTTATGATTTGAGTAAGGTGCATAGGATTTTGGATTATTACGTAGTTTTTTTTTTTTTTTTTGCTTTTTGAAGGCTAATGTGTTTGGGGCATACATTTATGGGTTATTATAAAAAGCAAGTGTCAAATAAATGTTATTATACTTGATTCGTGGTTTGAAAATTATTATTTAAGCTCTCTTGTTGGGTTGTTTGAGTTTGCATGTGGTTCAAGCGCTCCCTTGTATTGTCATTTTTGGATTGCTTTGTCAAATACAGAATGACTTTTGTTGATTAAACCACTATGTTTGTGTTGATAAAGTTGATGTGTGCCTTGCAAGGCGATTGACACATTTTGTACGAAACATTGATATTGATTTTATCCATTACAATTATAAAATGTTTTCTTTAACCTTTGAATTTATGCATTTTATATGCTAATTACTTATAAGATAAATTCCTCCAAAAGCTATTGCGCGATTTCGATGTTTATTGAAATTTTGCAACGTTTTACTTAAAAGCCCTTTTTTCATCCAAATGCATCTCAATAAATTCAATCAATAAGATTGGAAGCATTGTAAGTTTTCTCTTCAATCAATAAGATTGGAAGCATATAACACTGAGAAAATAACTATTAACTTCGTATGTTTTTTATAATAACAAAACATTATTTATTCATTAATGCCTAATTTCATTATTTAAGTGTACAAGATATAATTTATTCCCTCCAACAAATTTTTTAATTAAAGGCAAGTCAAGAAGCTTACTAAATTTGAAGATGGGTTAATTAGTTAAAGAAAGAAAGAAAAAAGTGATTAATGAAGATAGAAAACTATCAACTGATTAACATGAAACTTTAACCAGTTATGACATAACTGGGGGTTGGGCAAAAACAAGATAGAGAAGTCTTAATTAGTTAGCACTTGGCTTAACTAATTAAGAAGTTATTGAAAGCTGAAAACAGAGTCATTGTAAAAGTTTAATGAAAACTATTAATTCTACTGATTTAGTCAAATTGAGTTGAAAATCTTTAATTGAGAAATCAAAGTAATGAATATAAGTTAAGACAATTGAACCATTATAAATACTTGTATATTGTCTACTTCTCTCTACCTTTTATTACTTAATATCTTTTAATTCTAACAAGTTTTAAACCTTTCTTCTTCTAAAATTTTTTCTGAAATGAACTTACGAAGAAGGTTACTTCTCGTAAGTTTCTTAAAAACTTAAGAAGCTAGCCTGCAACAGAATGCAAAGGAAGAAAAAAAAAAGCATTAATTATTCCAAGATATTACCCTTATGATAGAATTACAGTTATCATCATGACACTATTTGCTATCCCTACTAGAATAAAATAATACATTATTTTGATGCAAGCATACCAGTAAATGCTAAAATAACTAAACAAGAAATATAAAACAAGTGTTGATTCATGGAGATAAAGGGCTTCTTGCTTCATTTCTTCCTGGGAAACTTTCCAATTACATACCAATTTAGAAAGCAGCGGCAACTGAAAGAAAATTTTGCACGCTACAAGTTCAGAGAACTGAAATCAAGTGGGGAGGGCCAGCTTCCAATTTGATCGACATATAAGAAACACCTGAGCACTGAAATTCCTTGCATACCATCCATTCCAGGTGCAACTATGTGGCATAAGAAATTATGAGCAAGAAAGATACCTAAAATTATGACTAACAAACAGCTTCAACAACTGCCAAATACTTTCAGTAAGGCTTTGTGGAGAGAAAAGATGGCGTTCTCCAAGGATATACAAACCAGGTAAATGTGCAAGCTTTATTTGGTCTGTCATAATGCAAATTGACATATACTACATTCTCTTGATTCCCACCAGCTAAATTCAACTATCCCTAAAGGGATAAATTCCTATCAGCCCAAATGTCTCCAATTCAAGTCTTTACCATGCATCAACCATGGTCCCCATCAAATGCACAGTAGCCAATCCACTGCACACTCTTTGTTTCCTGCTCAGCTCAATTAAAGTATCTTGCACTGCCAAAATTTTACAAACAGGTAAACAGCTCATCTACCCTTGACATGTAGTGCTCGATAGTAGGTCCTGTTCCCCATCATTTATCATGCAAGTTGAAAGGTTAAGGCACTCCTATCCATGTAAATAAAGCATGCACCTGAAATCTGGTGGGAGAACAAAAGCTAAGGACCAAGCAGAAATCAAGAATCTGATCTGGCGGTTGTAAATGATGAAAGAAGTCCTGCAGCTTGTACAGGTAAAATGTCACCAAATGTTGACATGGCAGCTGCTGATCTATCCTTGAATATGCCCACTTGCCCATCCGTTAACATAGATCCCAGTTTCAAAGTGCTCTCTCCGAATCTACTGCCAACCTGGCCAATACAAGGAAAATCACTTTTTAAACCTTAAATATGCATCACAAATAAACAGCAGACCATCAAATATGTTGTTCACACAATTATTTACAACTGGCAAATAAGCCACTTTATAGAATGCTAATTGCTCAGATTAGGACCAAACCTTTACCCAATCTCTCATTTCGTGATCAAACCTTTTATTTTGTCCAATTTAAGATCAAACATTTTCAACATTTTTCATATCAGGACAAATTTGTACAGAAATTGGAGCATGTCCTTTACGCACATTTAAGTCTCTTAACGCGACACACGTATCAAAAAATAGTGCCTCACGTCCACTGATGCAAATTGCATTTTAAATTAAAAAAAAAGAAGAAAATCAGTTGGATTTTCACTTTTCTTGTTGCTATTTTATTTTTTCCGTCTCTTTCTGTGAAAATATTCTTTGAGCTTTGTCAACATGAAGCCAAGGACTAGATGCAGCCTCCACAAGCATCAGACCAGAACCATAGTTCATGAAAAACTTGACAAGGAAAAAAAGAGGAAGTGAATGGTTACAGGTTTTGTCCAAGACCAAGAAATACCAAAAATATACTCAAAAAAAGGCAGGGATGAATTGAAAATTAGGATTTGAATCTGAGAAAAAATTATATTCAATTCATAACAAAATCCATAAGCACCAAACCCATAGCCAAAATTCATCAGTACCTAAAGAAAATATTCAAACATGTAAAGAAAATATACAAATATGTAAATCACACAAGAACTCAACCGCAAGTAAACCACAATAAAACCATATCCAAAACTCATCAAAGGGAAAAATAAAAGACAAAAGCTCAGTGGGGTGGGTGACTGTGTGTTAAGGATTTTAAAACTCCAAAAGAAAGAGGGAGACTATGGGTTTGTTAGAGAGGGCAATTGGAGGCTAAGTGGAAAGAGGAGAGGTTTTTGAAACAGTAAAGGAAGCAGATGAGAGAAAAAGAACAATTTAAGAAGAAGAGAGATAAAAAGAATCAGAGTGGCAGGCCGGTAATCCAAGCTGCAACGATGACAGCAACAACTTGTAACATGATTTTTGATGGGGAAAGGAAGAAAGCTAATTTTACATTTTTTATTAGGGCTTAATGTTGTTTTTTAGGGCTTAAAATTCACATGTTTATCTTCTGACTTATTATTTGGCCACTTCATGTGATTAAATGGTGCGTGACAGAAACTCTAATTTTGTTGAAAATTTTTCTAAAATAAAAAGTGTAAAAATATTATATCCTAAATTGGACAAAATAAATTGTTCATGAAATCAGAGATCGGGTAAAGGTTTGATCCTCATTTGAGCATTTAGCACTTAAATAACTATAAAACTCAAACCTTATTTAACAAGTTAAATTTCCTCTAATATAGATTAGAAGGGCTCATAGAAGGTTTCCTAAAACCAATTCACAATCAGCCACCCAGCCAAACTACATATTGACAAAAATTATTAGATGAAGAGCAGAAACAGCTGAATGAAGATATCCAATAAAACCCTTGATCATACATCAAAACAAGTCCAACATTATTGATGAAAACTGCAACAGTTAAAACATTTATAATCAAATGTTTACCCCAATAAAAAAAAATATCAATTCTATAATGCACACAACCCTGGAAATTGCAGATAAGTCTCAGCAAGCGGCCGAGACTTGAGATGCATTCCATTAGTTTTCTTTCTTCCTTACTTTGAAATATACTCATCATCAGAATTCAAGTTTGGGACCCACCACTGACTGACCAATCCAGTTGAGATTCACTAAGAATACCTCCTTTAGGGAAACTATTAGAAAACAATATTTATGGTCAATCAATTTAAAGTCCATTATCAGAATTCACATCAGGAAAACCCTTCATTTGTCTTCTTTTTCTTCATTGTTGAGAAAATAGATTTAGCAAAAAACAGACAACTTTATTTAGGGTTGCACATGATTACCAGTCCGACAAAGTGAGTTGTTCAAATTTACTTCTCGTCGGCATGTACAACAATCCTTTGTTAATTGACAAATCAAAATTTTAGCTAGTTTCTTCCACTTCGGCATTTCCTATTTCCGACAAGGATGTGAGAGGTTAGTCAACATTAATTGGAATTTGTTGTCCCTTCAACGTAACTTAATGGGACCACTAAAGCATTTCAAACACTCAACTTTTACACATTACTCCTTACTGCATATTTCATCACATTAGGACAAAATAAACTTGTGTAAGTCTACCTGTCTGTCTTCAATCTATTAGCTAGCTAGATTTTACATTTTCAATAAGATTATATGGTTTTGTGAGTTCTCCGGATTCAATTTATAGTTTGTTCAGGGTAAATTACATATATATGCCTCATGGTTTCCATGTTTTTGTGAAGAAGACCCTATGATTTTTTTTCCTCGGCACTTAAACAACCTTGGGTTTTATTCCATTATCATAGGGTATTCCAACATTAATTTTAAAATTACAAAAATACCCTAATTTAAAAGGTATTTTTGTTGAAACTTTAGGGTATTTTTGTTATTTTGTTGCCTGACATTAATTTCATAACACCCTAATGAGAGAATGAAGCCTCAAGGTGCAAAAAAAAGTAACCCTCATATTTAAAAGGTATATTTGTTGAAACTTAAGGGTATTTTTGTATTTTTGTTGTCTGACATTAATTTCATAACACCCTATGATGACAAAAGGAAACTTCAAGGTGCAAAAAAAAATCACAGGGTGTTGTTTGCAAGGAGGTGAAATCTCTCTAGACTAGATTCAAATAAAACCGAACCGATCTACTCTAACCAATATACTCTAGAGCCAAAGCATATGGGACATCAGCAAGCACACTTTTGAAGGATAAACAGCACTATTTTAATAGCAAAACTTTGACTCATTAGACAGCACACATTAGATAGACCTTTATTTAAAAAAATAATGATGTCTAGCTTCACCTGCATGAATGACTTTAGGAATGGCGTTGCAACACCAAAACTTGGGTTATCATCCAAAACAACTTTTCGAGAAAGCTCTCCATTTGTATAAGCTTTCCAGGAACTTCTTGAAGCTATATCATTTGAGGCAGCTGTAATAGGTGTCCCAGAAGTCCCTCTCGAGGACAATGCTGGAGCACTAGATGACCAACAAGAAATTATAAGAAAACCATTTACATGAATAAATAGTGTAAGATAGAAAATAAGAATGTGTAACAGAAAAAAAAATGCAGCACTGACCTGATTGGAAGATATTTGAAGCGTGGAACAACAGAACATCTCATAATATTCGACTCTGAATTAGTAGGCAGTTTCTGCATAGTATCTGTGTACATCCGATTAAGTTGAACAAAGAACCCAAAGAGGACAGCATGCCGGAGGTACGACTGCCTCTCATTCTCCCATAAGTATGGCTCATACCTTAAAATTATTTAGAAATACATATTCAGTTATGCCTTAATCCCAATGACACCACGAGAACATATAATTATTTACCAAAGGAACTAAAGGCTCTAAAAACTAACTGGTAAGTAAAAGGCACCTAAAGGAAACTTCGAGAGAGCAGACGGACAAACTGACAGTTGATCTGATTTTTATACGGTTTGAGTAAGAACACCATTTTGATAAATAACCATACACATTTTATACATTCCAAGACTTATAACAATTCAGTCTACACAAACAAATGAAATAATATGCCAGATATAACTTTATATTAAGTTTGCAATATACCAAGAAAAACAGTCAGGAAACTTCTATACAAGTAGATCCATATGTAGGATATGGAGTTGTTGATTTTGTGTTGTTAGATGAGAAGCTGGAGGTGATGGTAGGCATGGTGCTCATCAGATGGTGAGAGAGAGAGAGAGTGATGAGATTTTAGAAAGAGAAAGAAAAGAAGAATAATATTAAGAAAAAAAATGCAGAAGCAACAGAAGAAAAGGGTTGACTTTTCTACTGAGAGAGAGAGAGAGAGAGAGAGAGAGAGAGAGAAGGAAAATGAAGGAAGAGGAGAAGAAAGGAATTTCTAGGAAATACAAAGAAAAGAAAGAGGAAATAAAAGATGATCCATGGAAGATGGTGGTCTCTATCAACTATGAAGGCCCAGCTCATAAATCATCAAGCTTTCCAGCTCAAAAAAATTCCCTTCTTCACTGTCAAAATTGTTTACTTTATCAAATGCCTCATCAAATCCTGCTCATTGGCTTCAACAATCATCATCTTACTTAACATTTTCTCGTCTTGATTTCATTAATGATTCAAACTTTAGGTGATTATTATGTAGAAACAATCTATGTTACTCAGACTCAAGGGTGAGGTTGGATATGGGTATGTGTCCGACAAGGATAAACTTTTTCTAAGTTTTCCCATATATTTGGAGGGTTGGACCTCCATTCCATGTTTGTCGCATACGTGTCAGACACGAGCATTTGAAGGAAAATGAAATGTCCAAGCAACATAAGCATGAATAATTGTTCAATAGGCTGATTGACAAGTAGTTTTATTTTTTACATGAATCACCATTTATGGGAGTCTATTAATCATATAAGTGTAGAGTTTATAATTGGACTAAAAATCACGAAATTTGAAAAAAAAAAAAAAGGAACCCATGCTAGAGAGAGAAAGATGCAGAGAAAATGGTGAACAAGGGAAAGAGACAGAGACATTAAAACAATATATAGAGGGTGGCATACAATGGAAGAGAGATAAACAGTGATGGATGAAGAGATTTAAGGCAAAAAGCTCCTCTGGTAAGTGGTACTGGAGGAAGAGAGACAAACGGTGAGATCTGAGATGAGTGAAGAAGGAAGAAAAAGAAAAATAAGGTATTTCATCTGGTGTTGGCAAATTCCATGCTTCACAAATGCAGGAGAAAGGGGGGCCTTTTAGTCCAAAAAAGGTACACCCTATGAAAAGACAAATAGTTGACTAATGGGGAGTTCTGGTCAAGGGAGGGAAATGTGCATTTTGAACTGAAGTCCTTTGACGATCTTATTAGTGGTTTTTTTGGAATTCACCCTCTCCAAATGCATCCTGGTTTCCCTTCTGGTATTGAATGAGTATTATGCAGTCTCTACTAACAGTTCTTAAAAGTTCTGGAAGTATTATCAAAACATAGATTTCTCTTCATCATGAAAAATGAATAGAGAAAAAATGAGCATAAGGAAACACTTACGTGAGCCAATCAATGGGATCTAACTTCTGCGAAAGAGAATAAATCAACCCATCAATGCGTTCTCTAATAAAAGACTTTGTCTGAATTTGATCCTGCTTCCTTTTGAATGATGATTTAGACTTTGGTGTGCTAGATAACACTTCATTCACATTGAAATCACCCCCAGAAAGAACATCAGCAGCAAATCTTATGTCTAACAAGACCTGCAAAATTCCTTTCTCTGACACTTGAGCTCCAAATTCCTCTCTAGTAGAGAGAAAGTTTTCGTAAATAGAAATGACCTGCATGATCAAAGCACAAAATGAAGAAAAACATAAGTACCAAACACTCTTAGCAACTGGACCTATTATAGCATATTTTCCCACAGAGAATATAGCAAACATAAATTAGAGCTAGTCAAAGTTTTTGAGAAAAAAACAGATTAAAAGAATACAGCATATGAAACTTATCAAAATAGATGCATAATTTACTTCTTCATTTAAGGAAATCATTTACTACTTCACACAGAAGTAATCACCAATTAATTTGCTTTGTAAAGGATCTAGCTAAAACTTGTATATTCTTTTCAAGTGAATTTTTAGGAAAATCATAGTTGTCAATGCTGCATATAAAGAGTGTATCACTTGTGACAGAATCAACCTCAAAGAAACCAACTCCACAACCACACTCGCCCTTCCCCACCACCAAAGAGAGAGAAAGAGAGAACACAAAAACACAAAATAAAAAGAATAGACCTCTCAGCAGTGGCACAAAGAAAGTGGACCAAACTAAATACATAAAAGTAACACCGTATTTCTTAAGAGAACTACAAGTCATAAGTCCATTGTGCCTGTATACTCATAAGACACTCATTTGAAATCAACTGCTTTAACCCCAAAAAAGAATTTTTAAATCCAAGATTAATAATTTTATTACATAAAACAAAGGCAACAACGGAAGACCTGCATACAACTCCTAAATCATTCAAGAAGTCCAAACTAAACGAGTAAGTTGGACCAAAGCACTATTTAAAGATAGAGAATTTTTTAAAAGCCTTAAGGGTATTACCATCATTATATAAGTAGGCAAACCATACAACAGCAATGACTAGTTAACCAAAAGAAAACTTGCAGATCTTTTTTCTTTCTTCTCATTTATTTTCTTTTCTCCATTGAACATCACCTCATATCAGCACAGCTCAAAGCAAAACAACTTTGCAGACACAGACTCTATTCTACATAACTCAAAACTATCATCTTCTCCCAATGTGAATACCAACTTTATGATTACAAAAGTCATGCTGAGCATTAACAAGGTCATACTTATTGATGCATAGCTTATCTAATAAGAAGCAGATACTATTCAACCAGTGCCTTAGTAAGTAGTATCAATGACCAAGCATTCAAAGGCTAAATGTCTGAAAATGCACTATGTATGCAAAACACCTTAGCCCTATATTCTAAAAATCAAAGTAGAACCAAATATATATATATATATATATAAGGTAAAATAAGTAAAAGCTTCAAGAGGAAACTGAACTAGAATGAAGAAAGGTGAAAGGAATTTAAGGAGGCAACATACAAATGAAAAGCCAGAGGAGATAAGAAAGGCAGAGGCTGAGTTTAATCAGTTCTGCATTGCATGGTCTAAGGAACAAACTGAATAGATGAAATTTTGAACACGAGAAGTAGGTGCACATTATTCTTCTTCTACTCTGGGAAAAGCACCCTTTAGTTTCCCATTGTGATAAAGAAAAACATATATTAGATCAAAAATATGATTCCTGTTACGGGAGGGAGGAGACACAGTAATGCTGTTAGGAATATAACGTCAGACAAAAAAACTATTTAAGAGGTTGCGGAAAAGTAATGATGTCAAATAGGCATAAAGAGAATTCAAAAATAGTCTAACCATGATCCACTGTTGCACTAGAAAACAATTCAATATGCTCAAAACTTGCTCCCATGACAGGCAATATACCATGCATCAAAGTAAAGTCAATCATCTTGAAAGGTGGTGAACGGGTTATAGATCATGTATTGTTAATTATGTGAAGAAAAGAATGGTATACATTCACATATTAGTGTTTGATTTATTAAGCACATAAGCATTAAAAAAGAGAAAAGGTAAATTATTACTGTACTTCTATTTCATTACAACCTACATTTTATACTTTCTCTTTTGTACTGCTTTAAGGACAGGATGTGGTTATCTTTATGTTTAGCATACTTAAATTTCTCCATGGATACATTATAGGCTCACAGTTACACGGTCTTGTTTATTCAAAGGAAAGAGATTATAAGGCAACTTTTGACTGAACAGACTCAAACTTAATATTCTTTCAGCTCTAATAATCAATGGATTGATTTAAGTTAAAAACCTGAGAAATGACACCTCAAAGCTTGGTTTGTTTCATGTTAACCCAAGAGAAACCAGAATAGGTCCCAATCCAAGAATTGCATATTAAAAATTGCAACAGAAAATCAGATGGAAAATCCCAATCTTAATATGAATCGAGACGCCAAAATTCAAGTAGAGACATCAAAAAGCATTTATCAAAGGAACTGCGAAGAAAAAAGCTTTTCAAGGGATGTTAGTTGAGAAACTATGATCTGGCAATCAGGACCCAATAATCAACAGCTAGAAAATTGAAACCATCAATTAAAGCATGAATGTACATGTTTACAAGAAAATTAATTTGGAACTAAGAATATCAAGAAAGCAATAAAAGTACACACAGCATTGTTAAGTTAAGAAGAATATAAACAAGATTGTTGTAGAGTTCCTGGAATAACCAGTAATTACAAATAAACGGTTATACAAAGCAGACTTTGTACCTTTTCTATGAGGCTTAATGCAAACTTTTGCACAATTGATTTGTCAAGAACATGGCCTCCAATACGATGAATTTCTTCACATGCTCGACATAAGAAGGATATCACATAAAGAGAAGGCATAGATGGGAGTGATATTTTCATCTCAGATGACCCCTCATCAGATTGTTCTTGCTTAACAACTGTCTCTTCCCAGCCCTGTGAAGCAACTTGTAGTTTCGGACTTAGTACACATATAAGCAACAACTTCCATTCCACAAACAAACAGTACTCATTTCAATAAAGATTACTTTATATGGCATAAATACCAGTCAAGCCCCAGTATTAGTGTTAGAAAATTTTAAAGCCACCTAACACAAGGCAAAGTGCAATACTTTTCTCATGATTTCCCCTTTGCAAGATACCAAAATTTCACATGTTTTCTCGAAATATTGCAATGAACTATTTGATGTGTTCATAAATCATATTTGGAATTCTACATAAGAGAAAATGTAAAACATAAAATTTATAATGAGATGTGTATTAGCATGTGCGTGTGCGCACTCAAGAATATAAATCTTGCATATATAAAGGAAATATGGTCAGGAAAAATGCCAGAAGAGTCAAGAAGCTGAAGGAACAACTCAAGCATTGCCAAAGGTACACTCACATCCACCCCAGATGAAGCACAACGGAGCCTCCAAAGGTTGTTAGAAAGCATGCTACAAATGATTCTAGAGAGTTAATTTGGCACATGTCCACTTGTGAAAAGCTTAGTTGGACTTTGCATACTTTATTTGTTGCTCTTAAATCTTAGATTAGTTTTAGAGTTGTAATTCGGATTTTACTCTATTTTCTTGAGATTTAAGCATCAACCATATAATCATAACTTTCTTGTTTGCAGGGAATTTCAGATTTTTTGTCTAGGATCTTAGTTTGGGTTTCCTTATGCTATTGGGTTTTGTTTTAAGTTAAGTTTGTTAGTTTTTAATTTGGAGTCTTAAGTGTTTGTTAAAGCCCTCATTGGACACTGTATACATATCAATATATAATTATTTATGTGATAAGGAATGCTAGGAGTATTAGTTCTAATGGAATTAGGAACACTAGGAGTCTATACTAATATCAATGTACTCTTTTTATCGGAGATAAAGAATAGAGTCAGAAAAGGTCTAACATTATTGCTTTTGTGATTGTGTGATGCAATCAAACACAGGTGTGACTCCAAAGGAAACCTACGTGTGAAGCATAATGGATTCCTCCAATCAACCTTTGGTGTGACCCCTACGGAAGCTTAGGTGTGAAACATACGGATTTCTCTTTATTCAATTTTTCATGTTTTCAAAAGAATTTCACATTACAAAATTGCCATAAATTCTGATCACCTAGGGTATGTTTAGGATTGCTTTTGTTTTGTGCTTTATGTTTTCACAAAATTGGAAAATAAAACAGGAATAATGTTTGGTGATCCATGATGGAATGATTTTGCTTTCAAAATTATCCAAAACAGCAACAAAGTTACGGAAATTGTAGGAAACAACACATTTCTTGTTTCCTACAATTTTAAAAACATGTTTTATAAAAAACAGAGTCAGCAATGGATTTTTGAGTGTTCCTGCCTTCAAATATCAGGAATGACACCCTCTATCCATTTCTTAGAGAATTCTCTCTCTCTCTCTCTCTCTCTCTCTCTCTCTCTCTCGCTCTTTCGTTTCTTGACCGGCAAAAGGCAACAAGGACCTCCATTATTTCAGATTTCTTCTCTGTCGTTCCTCCGATCACTCAGTTGCTTGTCCAAACTCTATTCCTTCAGCAATGAAGCTCTCACCCTACTTAAAGGGCTTTAGTCTTTAAGTAAAAGCTTCTCCATTCTTTGCTTCCCAAGCTTTTTTTTATCAACAAAAGAAAAAGGATGCAGGAACTCATAATTAAAATTGGGGTATATGTTTCTGATAGATCTTGTCAAAAGTTTTCATTTGAATCCTAAGGGCATTGTTTGGTAACCAGGAAAATAGCTTCAAGTCATTTTCCACATTTTATGATGTTTGATAGACAGAAAATGATATGGTCAAAGGAATATCACTTGTGAGTCAGAGGGAAAGAGCCCAAAACAAGAAGAAAATTCCCAAGCCTTTCTCCTACAACAAAGCTCAGTTCCTTTCCCCTCAAGCCTCCCTTTCTCCTTCATAGCCCTCACTAACAGCCATCACCCTCACGACCAACCAGCAACAACCACAATAGAGCAAAATTCTGTCCTTCCTCTGATCTCTCTCTTCCTCTTGTTCTTCATATCATGACCCAAATGTCCTATGACTCTCTCGGTTTTCCTTCAATCTCCACCCTCATTCACCACAGACCTTCCCTTGGCACCTCAAAAGCAACCCCTGCAAATGGGTTTGAACCAAGCTCACCAAACCAAAACCTGAGACATTGGCCAAAAAAGCAAAAGAGCCACCACTTGGAACAGCAGTGCCCTATTCCAGTCAAGACAACAAGTTTTCTCTTCTCTTTTTTTTTCAAAATTTGCTACTTCCAGATAATTTTCATTTTGAGAATTTTTTTGGGTTTTGATACCTAAAATGGGTACGATGGAATTTGTGCTGGTCTTGCTAGATTTTAGTATAAGCAAGAAACATTTACAACTTTTGGGTTTGTCATTTGTGGATGAAGACATGGGTGTCATTATTTGGTTTTTCCCTTTTAAAATGCTAATTTATTGTTCTCGATAATATTATTTCATCGTTGATGTTGAACTGCTTGCTCTTATTTGACATGAAAAATATTGACAAATTTTGGTGTAGAGAAAAATTTGAATACTTTTCCCAGCATACTATGTTGATAACAATACCAAATGACCACTAGCTGTCCTACATCGATCACATAAGTCAGACAAAACTACCATGAGTAAATGTGATAAAACCCCTTTTGAAAATCATTACTGCTAAATCAAAATAATAAAAAGGAAGTTCCCACAAGAGTACATCCCATTCCAACTACTTTCGCTGAATTACTGACTACCACTTGAAGTTTACACATCCATCTTCCAAAAATATAAAAATTGAATAGACCAACGAAAACATGTCAAAGAAGCACCTACAAGATCTTGAAAACACCTTACCTCAATTTTCATTCTACCATTTGATCCATCATTAAAAGAAACGAATCTCTGTCATTAAAAGAGCCCAGAGCTATTCAAAATATAATTAAAAATGACCTCTCCATGTCAGAAAACATCCAACAAGGAGCTGCCAAATGAAACAAGGCAAGTTATGGGAGTGACAAGGGGAAGAATTAACCAACTTATGGAGTACGAAATGGTTCTGGTTTTGGTAACTTCTAAGGCAGGCCACAAGTCACAGATTCAATGTTTTAGTTGCAGTGAACAAGGGCATACCTCATATGCTTGTCCATGTAGAAGGGTGAATCTTGCAGAATGTGAAGAAGGCTTAGAAAAATTAAAAGCCACTTCATGATGATTTTGATGAAGACCACAAGGAAGTTTTGATGTTTATCCAATTCAAGGAGAGTCAGTGGTAGGGGAGGAAGATATGTTTAGTTCAGAAAAATTACAGAAGCTGGGCTTGAGTTATCAGCCATTGGAAGAAACTCTTGTAGATTCCGTTGAGAGCTATAGAGAGGCTGGAATCTCCTAACATTTTATTGACCTAATAAAACAGATATTAGGTAACATTTTATTGACCTCATTGGGAACCTAATCTGCTAGTTTATGGAATGCCTTCATTGCAACGACCACAAATGGAAAAAACCAATTGAGGAATTGCTTACCAAGGATTTGGTATTGGAGAGTAAAATAGCCCAGAAGACACCAAAGGGCTGCTGTGAGTGGTTAGTGATACTGTTTGGTCTCTCTAATGCTCTAAGTACATTCATGCAAATAATGACTAAGTGTATTTCTTGTGTTACAAGATTGTATTTTGGGATTTATTGTCTTGGAAGATGGACTAAAACCAGATTTGGGGGAAAGTGTATGCCTATCGGAGAGTGGCAACCACCAAAATCAATCAAACAAATTCAAAGGTTTTATTTTATTTTGGGGGAGGGGGGATTTGAACTGCCCATTGAGTGGGAGTTTACATGCACCTACCATTGAGTAAAATGCCCAGGTGCAAGTTGAAAGGATTGATGGGTTCGCTTCATTGTATAGAAGGTTCAAGGAGTTTCTGTTTCATTATGAGCCATATCACTAAATGCTTGAAGAGGGACAGCTTTGAGTTGCCAAATTCTGCACAAAGCGCTTTTATACAGATTAAGCTTTTGCTGACAAAGGCACTAGTTTCTGTACTATCAGATTTTGTGAAGTTGACTTTTGTAGAGTGTAATGCGTTGAAAGTTGAAACTAGAGCTGTTTTAGTTAAGATGGAAGGTCAACAGAAATAGTAACGAGCAATTAAGTTACTGGTTTTCAAGAACACAAAATTCAGTACTCAAAGTGATCATTATTTCAACCATATTATGAAGGAATTGTATAAATCTGCTGCTAAGAATACTTGGATTGCAAAATATGAGCTGAAAATGACTAATCCAGATATCTACATTAAAGCTACCAAAGTTCTCACTAAAGAGGAAGGCCTTTTGTCAACTCGAGGAGATTGATGCAGTAGCATTCCACAGTTTAGCTCAATTGGTTATCTTGATATGTGTTCTGTATGTTTTCCGTTTAATTATTTAATGATTAGTAATATGCTTGTATTTTATTAAGAGGTCATGTGACTAAAATGTGATCTCTTAATAAGTTTGAAAGGCTGGTATTAGATGGGATTTATGTGTATCAAAGAGCTAGGATTAAAAGCTGTTGTAACCCTAAAATAGACACAATAAGGAGCCATACTATTATGGAATATTGTCTGTCAGTGATTCTATAACCCTAAACCTAATTATCTTGTTCAACTTTGATTTTATATCAATTTGCCTTCAATTCTGGTTTTGTTCTACCATTGTGGTTTTCTTTTTATTTTTTTCCACTTTCTGCACATTTTACAAACAATATCATTTCATAGCAAACAGCCTTAATAAAATGGAGATTTCATTCTGAAAGTGTTTATGCATTTGATGAAACGCTGGTCCTAGGATTAGCTTTAGTTGATTTCTGTAATTGTGCCCGTTGCCGCACAATGCTATCAAGTTATATTACTACAGCACTTTAACTGACAATTTTTTTAAAACAGAAGAACCAACTTGAATCAGAACATGTTCTAATCAAAAGCAAAATCTCTACATTCATTACTAAAAGTTAAACCAGAACATATAAACATAAAAGTAAAAGGATAGAAAGAATGTTTCAAAAGGGATAACTCAGGCTGAGACATAAACTCATATGCAGGGAGCAATCTCGAAGTAGAAGAAAAGAACCTTTTTTTTCCCCATTGATAAAGTTTCAGCAAAACTCATTTTAACCATGACAAAGAAATCTATGCTTTTCTTTTACTGGTATAAGTCTGTTTTCTAGGTTACTGACATGCAAACAAACAGAAAGGGAAAGAGTACATAAAGAAGTCGCCCTGCAAATACTTACCCTTAAGGGAGCTGTTGCAGATAATCCATCATCTTGTCCAAGCTCCCGAGAGAGAATAAGTGAAAGCCCATCAGAGAGCCATGACATCCACAAGCTGTAAGCTCTGATGCAGAGCTCTCGTGTAATCTTACGAAGTTCATCAAGTTTTGGGCTTGCACTTTCATTTGCTCCAAACAATGCAGCAGTAGCAGATGAACTTTGCCTCTGAGAGCTAGTGACCATTTGCATTCCAAGGCTGTCAGAGACAGGAGAATTGGTGGCAGCTCTAGACTGCCACAGCAAGGAAGGCAGCTTCTCAAAAACTACAGGCACTGTGTACTTCACCCAGAACCGTGGAGAACCAAGAATCAAAGGAATGTGTTTAGAGTAGTTCTCAAATGCAAACAAGAGTCGCCCAATAAAAAGAGATCTCTCAACAATTATAGGAGGAGGCACTGAATCACCTTCCTTATGTTCACTTTCAATGGAACTGTATAAAATATCAAGCTCAGTTTTGAGTTCTTTCAATATCATTGACACGCTGTCGTAACATTTCTTCTGCAGATACGGAACTAGATCCTTCAACCTCAGAGATGCCTTGGCAGACTCTAAGAAACTCAATAGATCCTCAAGAATACTGTGGCAGCAGCTGTCGACTCCATCTCTAATTTGACTCACTTCAAGACCAAAGTAGGCATTGAGACAACTTTGGAAATTATCTGCCTCGGGCAATGCTTTATTCCCCAATAGTGGACCCGGCTTCTTAACGATATTAGGTTCTGTAAACCAAACCCCACCACTTGTAGAAGGCCTATTCAAATATGCCTGAAAATCCATCTTCTCACCAGAAACCACCCCAATAGTGTGGATCACGTCTGACACGTTGACAGCTCTGGTCAGATCCTCAAATCCTGAGTCAATAATCACTTTCATCCTCCTAACAAAAGCATCTTCAAAGATCTCATCCCAAAGATCCAAATCACCTTCCAAAACAAGTTCTCGGATCCTATTCCAAGGCAACTCAATCTCAGACCCAAAAACACTTTCAAGCCATTCCAAACTCCCCTCCAGAACCTCCTTACTGTCCATTGTCTGCCTTATCAACTTCTCAGCCGTTCCAAGGTCTTGGCCACTAGGTATGGCATCGAGCAGATACCTTCCATTAATCTTACTGACGATCTGTGTTCCACAATCCCTCAACCACCTCAAACAAGTGTTAGAAATGAAAGTTTTATGGAGAATAACTGTTACAGATTCTAATTTATCCCTGAAAGATTTCCACAACCTGACCTCATCATCAGGATTTGGGATCCCACCAAACAACTGGGAAGCAGGGGGAGAACCCAAAATAACCTTATAAAAGAGAGGCATATCATTCAAAACATGCAAAAACAATTCCCCTACCTGCGCTATGCTAACCTGAATTATGCTCAAAAGGTCACAAAACACGGAAATGGCAATGGAAGAGGTAGCATCAGCATTACCAGCAGAAGCAGTCAATGTGTGCAATATCCAAGTCTTTCTGGTTTCAAGAAACAACCCCAGCACCTGCTCAGGATCCAGATCATCAATTACAGCAACGGCAGCCAAGGCATCTGCATAGGCAGCGACGGGCAGGCCCCGATCCATCAACCTCTCGCGACTTCTCTGCGAAATCTGAGCCTTGAAGCTCTCAACGATCTGCCACTGGTGCTGAAGCAGAGGGAAATTGGACAAGATGTTGTTGTGATCCAAATCACGATTGGGAAGCATCAAGTTGGAGTGGACGTGCTTGGCACGGACATACCTGGCGGCCGCCTCCAAGAACATGGACTCGTCGAGACAGCCCCAGATGTTCTCCGGGGTGTCCACCAGGTACTTGACGCGGCAAGCGATCCCATAGATACGGAGCCGAGTAGTAGGGTTAGGGGTTCGGAGTTTAGGGGATGGAGCTTCCGAGACGGAGAGGGAGAGGGAGCAGATGGAATGGTGGATGGAGGAGATGTTGGAGGAAATCGACTCGGATGCCGATTTCATTTGGAGGATGGAGTCTGCCGAGTCAATGAGATCACGGTAGCGGGTGCCAACCAGCTGCCGGAGCTCCTCCTTCTTGTCTTGGATCTGTTTGTTGGTGGCGGATTCCACATTGCGGATTTCGGAGATGGGTTTAGTGCGGAAGAGCGATTCGGCGTCTCGATCATCCCCGGAGCCTGAGGGGAATCTCATTCTCATTTCGGATAACAATAATCCACTCAATTTTGGATGCCCCTGCCTCTATTAGTCTGACTCTAACCAAGCAAACAAGTGCTGATTCTATTTTTGTTTTTCGAGTTTTTTAATTATTTATTCTGGAAAAAAATGTGATGTGACTCGCCCTGCGTTTTTGGTATGCTTCTCCCCCTCCGGGACCTCCTCTTGGCGCTAGGCGAGTCCTCAGATCGTGCGTTTTTGCCTATGGCTCCAAAAGTAACAACGTTCGGGTCTTTCCTTTCCATGAGATGACAACGTTTGCCTAAAGACAATTACGGTAAACCATCACCATCTCTCCAAAAATTACACCCTAAGGTCGTAAGGTGATTGCTTATATTGTAATGGTTTATTGTAAAATAAATAATATAATATAATTTAATTAGGCACATTATAAGAAATATGTTCTTAATTTTTTCATACCAAACACTAGCGAAATTTTAGTTATAATTCACTCTTGGTTTATTCGAATTGAAAATAAACATCATTTATTGAAAAATAAAATATGGCTGAAAGCACTCTTTTAAGCTAACATTGCTCAACGATCGATCGCATAAGAAAGTCCAAATATGCAAGCCTATAGTGGGTGGTTCTATGAACCATACTCCATTGGTTGTTCACAACAACCCTTCCTTTAAAGACATGCTCTTTAGTTCAGATTGTGAAGAGGCTCATTCCCAAAGTGACAACAAATTTTTTGAGGATTGTAAAAATCATAAGGAGTCTAAGATGGATTATGACTCAGATGAGTCTGATAAGAAGGATTTTGAATATGGCTCCATTAAAGGGTTTCCTTCAATCACGATTTTTGATTAGAGGCAAGATGCATTAGCAAAGAGATGGCATAACTCAATTATTGTACAGCTACTAGGTCACCCAATTTCATACATAGTACTTTTGCGAGAAAGTTGCTAATCTCTAGAAACCAATAAAAAGATACATTATTGTGGATTTATATGGTAACCATTTTATTGTCCACTTTTTCGAGAAGGGATAATTACTTGAGAGCCTTGTTAGATGGACCATGGGTAATTATGGGCATTACCTTATTATCAATCCCTAGACACTTAATTTTTCCATAAATATGCAAGAACTCATTGTCGTGGTGGCATGGGTTTGATTTCCTGACATTTCGCTTCACTTGTATCACAAATCAATTCTTAAGCAAGTTACCTCTTTGATTGGACGTCTGTTGAAAATCGATTATAGCACAAGCTTTGAGGAAAGAGGTAAGTTTGCCAAGGTTGTTGTAAAGCTTGATCTTTTCAAAGCCCTTGGTGCCAAAATTCTTCCTAAATGGTAAAGAATACTGAATTGTTCATGAAAGATTGCCCAAAATTTGTTTCACATGTGGTGTCTATGGGCATACCAAAAAAAGCTATACTAATCAAAAAGAGGCTCCAAAAGTGACGAAACAAGTTTATTCATAAGAAACCAAAGAGCAATCAAATGAATCTCCTTATGGCCCTTAGATGCTTGTTTGGCATATAAAGCCATAAAGATTGGACAAAAAACAATCAATGGGAAATCAAAGTTTAAAGGGACACACTAGCTCTGGTTCATGGTTTGCTGTATTGGAGGAAGAGAATTTGAAAGCCTCAAGCCTAGTGATTCTGGTGTAGCACTAGTATATGATGAAAAAGTGATGCAGAAATCTAGTTGGTTGCTAAGTCAAAAAGATTTAATGGGGCCAATCTTAGGCCAAAAAAGAATAATAAGGTGCCTTCTGGTGGTGCCAAATTTCATGAAGAATTGAGCCAACCTATCGTAATTTTGAATGCTAATAATGATGCCAATAATGACACCAAATCAATGACAGTGGAAACCAACTCTTTGAATGATGACATTTTAATTGGGAAAGATAATCATATGGAGGAAAGTAGTAGCATGGACATAATGCATGGAGATTTGGTGCAAAATGGTGTTGGTCCCAAATAGATGTGCTAGAGGGGATGAATAACACTTTTTGGCTTTTACTAAATTTGACCTTTAATTGGAGGCAAGTTAAAGCTCAATGATGAGAAATTAAATGCAAGATGAAGGAATAATCTAATCAAAGAATGAAATGAAAAGTAAAATAAGGAAGACAATACACAAAGATTTATAGTGGTTCAGTCAAAGACCTACATCCACTACTTTGATTGTTCAACCAAGGATTTTTCAAACTAAATCACTATAAACGGTGAAATTCCTAAACCTCCACCAAGCTTTTACAATGACTTTTCACATGATCAACCACAACCTTTAACAATGGTTTTTTTCGGGATCAACCAAAACCCAAAACTAACTTTTTTAGGCTCAGTTAGAACCTATACACTTAATTAAGCTAACCCAAGCTTAATTAATCCCCTTAAAGTGTCTTGCACACTCTAAGCAATCAAGGAAAAAATAAATAAGGAAGTTCTTATGATCACTAACCTAATTTGAATGGAATAAGATGAAATGCTTAACTCTATTATAAAGATTAGAGTGAAATGCAGAAAGTATGCACAGAGTTTTTGCTATTTTTGAGCTCTTTTTTATCTTGGAAGCCTTCAAAACTTGTTCATAGCTGTTGAGAGTGCCTTTTATACTTGAAAAATTAACTCTAATAGCTGTTAGATAGATTTTGACCGTTGGAAACAGTTTAGAAGCAGTTCTAGCTGTTAATCTGTCTTCTAGTACTTAAATTCAAATTTTTAGACAGAATGTTCTTAGTCGACTAACATTGTTGCTTAGTTGATTAAGTCGTCTCTATCTCTGAACCTAGTTTTTGGCAGTAGGCTCTTAGTTGACTAGTAAAACTTTTTAATTGATTAAGTCGTTTCTATCTCTAAACCCAGTTTTTGGCAATGAGCTTTTAGTCGACTAACACTATCTCTTGGTCGACTAAGTGTTCTCTGTCTCATAGTTTGCTTGAACCTGCCAACTTCTCTTTTAAATTTTATCCAAATAACTCCCTTGATTATCCAATTGAGAGATTTCTTGTTTCATTGCTTAATTGTAGCTCCTTATTCTTATGAGTTTTGATATTTGCTTTTGAATGATTAACTAATTATTTAACATTCATTTTTGTCCTGCACACTTAAGTAAAATAGTTAGACATAAATAAATAGGAATGTTTTATTATCATTAAAAACTAGCGGAGCCAATAGATAGTAGTAACATTATGGCTGGGTCTCTGTCTTAAACAAGTTTGTTTCAGTTGCAAGTGGATAAATGTGTACCAATTGTTTCCATATTGGATTAGAATAAGCATTTAATGGTCAAACCTACTAATAGTTTAGGTCCAAGTAATGCTACAATTCAACCACCTTATACTTTGGATACAAGAATTGTTAAAGTAGAAATGTGTAGAGAAATCATTTTAATGAAAAGTACTAATAAACCACCAGATAAAAGTGGCCCCATTCATTTGCAATGGTCTTTTTGAAGAAAAAAGCTCAAGCAAAATATGGTGGATCTTCAAGCCACTCAGCTACTCACTATCGGAGAAGAAGAATAAAATTGTTGGTAATCACTCAGAGGCTGGGAAGTTTGAACCCACATCCAGATTGGGGACTAGTGTTGCATGTCCGGTCAATATGTTGGTTGATGCTAATCATGAGGTTGCTTAAATCTAACCTTTTGTTATTTTATATTATTATGAATATGAAGCTTTTCGTTCGCAATTGTCAAGGTGCTGGAGATAATGGCTTTCCTCAAATTGTTAATGATTTTGTTAAAATGAAAAACCTTTTAATTATGATTTTGTTGGAACCCAGGATTTGTGGCACAATAGCAGATAAGGTTATTAATTCTTTTAGCTTTGGCAGAACACATAAAGTTGAAGCTTCTGGTTTCTCTAAAGGCATTTAGTTGTTTTGGAATGACCATTTGTAGGTTTCAGTGATCCATAATCATCCTCAATGCATCTATTTAGTCATAAATTATGTTTCGGGTTCTTCTTGGTTGTTAACTACAATATATGGACATCTGAATAACAAATTTTGTAAAGCTTTATAGACAAAACTCTCTCATTTTACAGAAAGCGTAGAAAAACCTTGGTTGTTACCTAGGACTTTAATTCTTTTCTTTTTTCTTATGAGAAAATTGGTGTCTTAATACATAATAGTAGGCCTTTTCAACATTTTTAGAGATTTCTTAATGATTTTAGTTTAATTGATCTTGATTTTAATGGCCCAAAATACACTTGGAGGAGAGGTTTGGTTTTTAAAAGGATTGATAAGGCACTATGTACTATCGATTGGAGATTATAGTTTAATGAAGCCATTGTTCAACATTTATCCAAAATTAAAGCTAACCATAGGCCACTATTGATTTTGTTAAAGGTGGACAAATAATCGAATCTCAAGTTTTAGTTTTAGATAGCTTAGATCTCTCATTTAGGGTTTGGTGACTTTGTCAAACAAAGTTGGGATTCTTCTTGTGATATTCAAGTTGCTATGGATAAATTCTCTGACATGGCTTGACAATTGAATAAAAAGGTCTTTGGGAGCATCTTTAATAAAAAGAAAAAGCTTTTAGCAAGATTAGGAGGCATTAAAAAAACTTTGGAGGTTTGACCCTTTAGATATTTAAAGAAACTAGAATTGAAACTGATAAAGGAGTATAAATTGATCCTCCAATAAGAAGAAGAATATTGGATGCAAAATCCAAGGTAGACTAGCTTAAACTTGGTGATAAGAATACCAAATATTTTCACCTTCACGTAATCCACAGAAAGAACAAGGCTAAAATTTTACAGCTCCATGGTACGAATGGAATGTGGCTTAAGGGTCATGATGCAGTTAGGTTACATGTAGTTATTTTTTTCGACAACTTTATACTAAGGATGTCATAGTGGCTCTGTATATCCCATTATAGGTAAATTCCCTACTCTTGCACCTAGAGACTATGAAACATTAGCTTAACTGATTTGTGAAAAAAAAGTACATGATGCCTTATTTGAAATGAAGCCTCTGAAAACACTTGGGATTGATGGTATGCATGCCTTATTTTTCCAA